CAATAGTTTGTTCTTTATCGAAGAATTCTCAGAATTGTTGCATACAGTGCAATAAGTTCAGAAAGTTTATCGTAACAGATCCATTGTTTCTTTCCGAACGCACTCAAATCAGCGGGGCCCTGTCTGAGTGCAACGCCATCTCCCAGAAAATCGAGCAACTACTATTACACACAATTCCTGGTCTCTTTATCAGCCCGAGTCTTCGTTGACAAGCAAATTTACGTATGATTTAGAGATTAATTAATATATTTTTTTCTAAGCTTTCAATCTCGGTTCTGTAAAGCCAGTATTGTTTGTGACCGATGTGAACCTGGCAACCAACTTTATCAAAAATAAAAATTAATACCATAGGACGTTTGTACTTCGTTTGTACCCGTTTGTACCTCACTTATTTTCGTTTGTACCCCAAACAGTTAAACAAAAAATGAAATATAAAAAATGGCCAGTGCCCAACTTTAATATTTTTTAATTTTATTTATGCCATTCGAAAGAGAATCGTTTGTACCCGTTTGTACCTGCCTTACTTTCGTTTGTACCTCAAAGGATTCGGAGATACAGCGCTTTTCAATTTTTGCGCAACCCCTATATAGCGAAATTCGCCAATTTTAAAGATATCGAAATGGGATCAACGGCGTTCGAAAGAGAATCGTTTGTACCCGTTTGTACCTGCCTTACTTTTGTTTGTACCTCAAAGGGTTCGGAGATACAGCGCTTTTCAATTTTTACGCAACCCCTATATATCTCCGAACCCTTTGAGGTACAAACGAAAGTAGGTGAGGTACAAACGGGTACAAACGATTCTCTTTCAAATGCCGTTGGTCCCATTTCGATATCTTGAAAATTGGCCGACTTCCCCTCTGGGCGTATTTCCGAAATTTTGAAATCGCTGTATCTCCGAACCCTTTGAGGTACAAACGAAAGTAAAGGAGGTACAAGCGGGTACAAACGATTCTCTCTCGAATGCCGTTGATCCCATTTCGATATCTTGAAAATTGGCCGACTTCCCCTCTTAGCGTATTTCCGAAATTTTGAAATCGCTGTATCTCCGAACCCTTGGAGGTACAAACGAAAGTAAGGGAGGTACAAACGGGTACAAACGATTCTCTTTCGAATGCCGTTGGTCCCATTTCGATATCTTAAAAATTGGCGAATTTCGCTATGTAGGGGTTGCGCAAAAATTGAAAAGCGCTGTATTTCCGAACCCTTTGAGGTACAAACGAAAGTAAGGGAGGTACAAACGGGTACAAACGGTTCTCTTTCGAATGCCGTTGGTCTCATTTCGATATCTTTAAAATTGGCGAATTTCGCTATATAGAGGTTGCACAAAAATTGAAAAGCGCTGTATCTCCGAACCCTTTGAGGTACAAACGAAAGTAAG